AACTAACTTGTACAATATTTTCACTAATAAGTTGTGAAAATACATCAGGAATTGATTGATATATAGTTTGAACTAATTGAAGATATCCACGACGTAGTAATTTTTTCTCTTCAAATAATGTTGGATGATTCGGTGGTAATGGTTCATTTAACGCATTAATAATAACTTCCATTAAATGCGGTAGACAAGTTGATAAAAATGGGATACTTTGGTTCTATAGAACAAAACGAAAAGAAACGAAAGACAAGATAAAATGAAGCGCACAATAAATAGACAAATTACACTTACATATGCCCAGTGTATAAAAATACATGAAGTGAAGTTTACAACCAAATATCTACATAACACCGGTCAATATTTTCAGTGTCATAAAGTTCTTCCAATTAGGTACATAGTTTAATTGAGCAGCTGTTAATATCGTTCTGGACGATATCACCGGAGTTTACTTCATTTAGAAGTGAGCATCTTAGTTACTCCACAAGCGTTTAATCAGTTTGTGCTAGTGAGGTAACTATACGACTCATTTCTATATAAAGTAAGCGCTGATGATGTTGCCTAGAATGACAATGAAAGGTTCGCAATTGGGCTAACAAGCTGAAAAACTCGATAGCACAAAAAGCATTCACTTGAACTGCAAATCTTCCCCTTTGTTGGTTAATTTGGTTGATTTCAATAACTATTTTTGATCAACACATGACACTAAGAATTCTATCTACGCTACTACAAATCACTAACGAACAGACTCACTTTCATTAAGGAAACATTTATTACGCAGAATTGTACATATTTTATTTGTTAAACCATTTATAAGTTGAAAAAAATGAAGAAATCCTTAAGGTTACTACTGAATTTATTTAGTATTATACTAACAACAACACTTTTAAGAACTCTTTATGGCTATCAATCTATCTAATCCTAAAATCTGGAATGATTTAACATGTAGAAGGAACAATAAATCTGGGGAGTTGGACAACTTTAAAATCTATATAGAGGCAGCATTAACTACACCTTAACAATTCGATGAATCTTAACATGCACCGATAGCTGATTAATCACTCTATAATTTGAAGGCATAAATTGGTTTTACTAATGTCGAATTATTATTGCATAGTTCGAGATTGGAGAATGTTGACAAAAATAATATGCTATCAAAAACACTGTATGCAAACTCACAGTCGTGTTGAGAGCTTATGACGAATCCTCATTTGAAGTTATGCCAATAATTAGTGTTCTTACAATCACTATTGCTAAACTAAATTTGATTTTGAATGCAGTAATAAAAACAATAAGGTAAATTTTAATGAACAGCTATGACTTATAGTAAAACCCAAAACAAGTTAGGTCAAGATGAGACACCTAACAAGTAATTAAGGGATTTACGTCTCTGTTCATAAAAATATGACGCACAAAATCTTAGTTCAACTAGTTTTACGTCATAAATGTACTAATTCACTGAAGATGATGAAATATGTTCTTCAACGAGCCCTTAAGTTCATTTGCTTAATACGTATACATAGCCTTCAATCGTCCATTTTTATCTTCCGGTATATTCTGCAATTTGAACTGTGTTACCAACTGGCCTCTAAAGGTTCTTCCAAACATGTACTTTCGATGTGCTGAAACTCTTCCCTCTGTCGAAAAAATGTTTCAACTTCGACACTAGGTTTCGCTGCACACTATTTACAAACATTATAGTGAGTGGCGTCCACTACAATAGTACTCAGTGGCAAAACTATGTATTAAAATATGCAGCGTGACTAGTGTTCCTCAATAGCGGAATACTAAATCACACTACGAATTCTAACAAAAATAACACTTATGTTGTTCCCATACAGAATTATTTAAATGTTTCATCTAAACCGGATATATATTTTAAAATTATAGACATCTAAAAAAGAAACAATACAAATTAGTGATTACATGGATATTTCTAAACTAGAGATAACAGATCACAATGATAAACGGTTAGGTCGAAAACCATAGCCTGATTTTTTGAGAGCATACATAATAACAGGCAAACAACTTAAAGTATCATTTACTCAATATAGAGTTCAATAGCCTAGGGAAAGAAAAATTTAAAACACATGCATTAATTCTATACATTAGTCAATAGGCTTCTCAAAGTTTGTGGCCTATAGCTATGATATAACAAGCATTACTTCACTACTTACGTCTGTTGCCCCCAATGAAGCATAGGCCACCGACCAGCATTCTCCAACCCACTCTGTCCTGGGCTTTCCATTCTAGTTCTATTTAATTTTTGTTCATTTTCCTCATGTCTGTCTCCATTCCTCAGCGTAATGTGTTATTCGGTCTTCTTCTTTTCATTTGGCCTTCAGGATCGCATATGAGGGCTTGCCTTGTGACGCAGTTGGGTGACTTCCTCCATGTGTTTCCTACCCACTTCCACCACTTCTTCCTCCGCTGGAATCTGGTTTGTTCTCTCCCACAGTAGCTTATTGCTGATAGTATCTGGCCAACGGATCCGAAGTATCTTGCGTAGACAACTGTTAATAAACACTTGTATGTTCTGCATGATGGCCTCCGTAGTTCTCTACATCTCCGCCCCATACAGTAGAACTGTCTTCACATTTGTATTGAAAATTCTAACCTTGGTGTTAGTTGACAATTGTTTTGAGTTCCAGATGTTCTTCAATTGTAAATATGCTGCTCTTGTTTTGCCGATCCGCGCCCTCACATTTGCATCAGATCCATCGTGTTCATCGATGATGCTGTCCAGATATGTAAAGGTTTTCACATCCTACAAAGCCTCTCCATCAAGTGTAATTTGATCGGTGCATGTTGTATTGTGTCGGAGTGTCTTGTTTTTCTCTTTGTTTATATTGAGACCTACTGCTGCTGAGGCTACTGCTACACTGGTCGTCTTTTCCTGCATTTGTTGTTGCGTGTGTGATAGAAGAGCCAGATTATCTGCGAAGTCTAAATCGTCCAGCTGCATCCTAGCTGTCCCCTGTATCCCGTGCCCCCCAGACGTTGACGTCTTCATGATCCAGTCGATCACCAGGATAAAGAGAATGAGTGGGAGTAAGAAACCTTGCTTGACACCGGTCTTTACCTCAGACGAGTCAGTGAGTTGTCCTCCATTCATGATTTCGCAGATTAATCCATCAAAGGAATTCCTTGTGATATTGACTATCTCAGGTACGCCGCAGTGACGAAGAAGCCTCCATAGTGTTGTCCTGTCTACGCTATCAAATGCTTTCTCGTAGTCAATGAAGTTGATGTAGAGTGATGAATTCCACTCAATTGATTGTTCCATAATGATCCGTAGAGTTGCGATTTGGTCTGTGAACGATCGATCCTTACGGAATCCAGCCTGCTGATCTCGAAGTTGGGTGTCAACGAAGTCCTTCATTCTGTTTAACAATACCCAGTAGAAGACGTTTCCTGGTATTGACAGAAGAGTGATACCTCACATCTGCTGAGATCACTTTTCATTGGTGTCTTAATCAGGTGTTTTTATTTCCAGTTTACTGGCACTTGTTCTTCATCCCAAATCTTACTGAAGAGAATGTGGAGTATCTTTGCAGTTACTGCTAAATCCGCTTTCAGCGCCTCTATTGGAATGTTGTCTGGTCCCGCTGCTTTGCCGCTCTTGATTTGTCTAATGGTCATGCTGATCTCTTCAATTGTTGGTGGGCCAACATCGATTGGGAGGTCTGTGGGTGCTGCTTCGATGTTGGGTGGGTTCAGTGGAGCTGGTCGATTCAAGAGTTTTTTAAAGTGTTCAACCGACCTGTTTCACTGCTCTTCAATGTTGATGATTACCTTGCCTTACCTGCTTTTCACTGGTCTTTCTGGCTTACGGTAATTTCCAGCGAGTTTCTTTGTTGTATCATACAATTTTCTCATGTTTCCTTCTCCTGCAGCCTTTTCGGCTGTCATTGCTAAATCTTCCACATCTCTACGTTTGTCGACTCTGATGCTCCTCTCTACTTACTTGTTTACTTCTGTATATTTGGCTTGTGCCTTGGCTTTTTCTGCTCTTGTTCGGCTGATATTGATTGCTGTCTCATTATTCCTCCTTTCTTGAATCTTATCCAGTGTACCAACAGTGATCCATTCCTTGTGATGGTGCTTCTTGTAACCCAGAACCTCCTAATGTGTTAAAGCGATTGCCTCCTTGATACCTTTCCATTTGCTCTCCATAGTAGTTTCCTCTCCATTGAGTAGATCATGAATGGCCTGGAACCTGTTACTGAGGGCTTTCTTGAATTCGTTGAGTTTGTCAGTATCCCGAAGAAAAGCCGTATTAAACTTTTGTGATGTTGTCCAGTGCTTCTTAAGTTTTAATCTCATCTTGGCGACCAGCAAATGGTGATCTGATGTTATATCAGCTCCTCTTCTGGTTCTCACATCCTCCAGAACATTTTGTTGATGCAGATATGGCAAATTTGGTTCTGCGTAATGTGATACAGTGAGGTCCATGAGGCTTTGTGAATGCAATAATGTGTGAATATAGTGCAGCATATGACCAGTTTATTAAAGACACATAGGTTTGCAAATCTCTCACCATTTTCATCCCCTTCTCCATGTCGTCCCATCGTGTCTCCATATCTGTTGTTGTCCATTACAACCTTAACATTTAAATCTCCCATCAGGATGGTCAGGTCCTATGTTGGACACTTCTTGATAATTGTATTATGTCCCGATAAGAATAATGAACGGTAACTTTTGGGATCTATTTATGGACTAATACTATGTGTATATTTTCATTGTTAAGTAACTAAACTATTCATATTCATGTCCCTCTTATTATAAGCTTTATTTTGACCTATGAACTATTATTATACGATTTACCATTCTTGAGTTATGCCCTGTCTATCAATTACTATCTCCATTATTCACAATCCCACTTGGCTAAATCTTGTACAAATGTTGTTTCCTATTTTATGGTACGATGTGGTCTATCTGGTTGGTATATAAACTCAGTATGTTTGAAATAAATGATTCATATCTCAGAGGCTGAGATTGGTGTTCTGGACTTAACTGGCTGGGCTAGGTAGAAAGCAGGACCGATAAGTACTCTAGACTGCTAGCACAGGTTTTGTACGTCATTGATTCGATCGATAATTCACCGGTCTTTAATTGCCCGTATTATCACGTTATACATTAATAGGGCATCCAAGTTACAAATTATAACAGATTGACTGCGGCCTATCATAGAATTGATCTTTAACGTCTTCGATGTAGTCGTTGGTAGGCGCATAGCATTAAATGACGTTCATTGTAATGCCCTTTCTTTGTTTTGAAGTAGGCTTTGACGATGTTTGGTCTATGGGATCCCTATTCTATAAGTTTGTTTTGTGCTTGTTTGGACAGCATCAATGCAACTCCTTGTGCATGTGGGTCATTTTCTTCTTCATGATCGGAGTATAACAGAAGTTCCCCTGAAGCTAGTCTTTGTTGTTCAACCTGTATCTAATGTGTATCACTAATTTCAAGCACCTCCAAGTTGTAACTCCTCACTTCTGCAGCAATTTGGATAAACTTTCCAGGTCTCCTACAATGTGTGAACATTCCATGTACCTAAATAAACAGTTGCTCTGGTTGTCAGAAGGGGCATCGTCCTCGTGACTTCCGAAGGAACCCGGCTTTCATCATGAAGCGTCATAACTCTTCTAAATGAAGGCCTTCTGACTCCCAGGACAGGGTTTAAATGGTTTGAATAGTACTTTCTGGTTAGTGTTTTTTATCGACTTAGTTTTCTATGGGATGGGGTCGCTAACCGCATGCTCAACGCTCCTACTTTAGTCAAGCTTGGGACAGGCAGTAGCCCCCGGAGGGGTTACAGGCGGAGTCAAATCCAAGTTCTATTAGGGTTACTTACAAAACTTGTATTTTTCAATTATCTATGCCTTAAACTGTGTTTATTTTTGCGGTGAATATTTTTATGTACAAAATCTGTCATTCTATAGTGGTAAGAGGAATATCTATTCTGTTAATCAGTCCATTTGAAGGCTTGTGTCAAAAATCTAGTCTAGTGACTAATTTACTAACATTATATCAATATACATCTATCGACCAGGATTCTATGTATCATGACAGTAATTAAAATGTGTTCACAACATACTGAAATTTTCCTTCAAAAGTGAAAAAAAATCGACTGTTAAAAATGTGAATTGAATTGAACCAAAGTGTGAATCAAGTTAGAACACATTAGAATATATCAAAACAAAATGTTCTCAATGTACCATAATCGAAGCAATGTCTACAATATTCAGAACTATTCAGAGAAAAAAACATGCAGAAAAGCTGAACACCATTGTTCATGTAATGATGAAGCAAGGTGGATTGTAGTCAGCAGTGAAGTCTACGATTTATAATTCGCCCCATTTAGAACTCATCATATGGATATACCTAAAACCCAATGTTTGTGATCATACTGAGATTCGAACTTATCACTTATCACTTTATAAACGTAGATTTAGCGTAAATTAGTACCTGTAACTAAATAGCAATATCAAGGCAATCCACTTAGAATTGACATATGCCAAAACAGATTGACCAACTGTAGGCTTTAACATCAACAATGTAGAAACAAAAATCACTTGCAATCAGCAGTTAAAAATAATGATACAACAAAATCATTGATAATCGTGCAAATTCAGTCAACTTTAAGTTTACAAAGTCATCTATGATAACATATTATGGTGTGTTTAGATCAATAAAATATACTAGTTTTTCTAAAATAATAGTTGTAAAACAGCGGAAATAACTTAGATTTTAGAATTAATGTTTACAATTCATTTGACTTCTAGTTAGTTTTACCGGTCATTTACCTAGTAGAATCACGACACAGATCATTATGAAACATGATATTTAATCAATTGAAAAAGTGGTTAAGAATGAAACAAAATAATTAAAAAACAAAAACATTTATAGAATGTTAATCGAAAGAGAAGTGGGAAAATGTTTGAAAAACAATTTTGACTAGTTTATACCTTATATCTGAGTACTACTTGTGTAACAAGAGGGATTATATCTCTGATTTCTTTCCAACGTTGTTCAGCGTCAACTGTATCTAACACTTGGTTGGAAGTAGTATAACAAGCGACTGTAGACTGCAACGGTCTTACCAATTTAGGAACAGCGTCTACAAGCGCAACCAATAAAATATCCGATGTCAAAGTACTTCCGCATCCAGTGGAGTTCGATTCATTGGTTGGCACAATACAAGCAACCATTCGATGCAAGAATGCACGAACACCGGCGCATGCAGCTTGTCGACCGGGACTAGCAGCCTCTGTAGGGAAACGCGATAATTCTGAAATTATGAGACGCATTGCATCAATTAAAACAGCTTCACATCCAGAGGTCATAACAGACTTTGGTTGAGAAAATACCCGAGTAGTTTTTCTAAACAATAAATACAATTAAAGATACATAAACATTAGGAAATTTCGAATTAATATAAATAAAACAGGAACAAATACTAACACGTAGGTGAAAATGAATATGAGTGATATACTTTAGTGATTAATTGTTTCTTAATTTCCTTGGTCAAATATTTTCATGTAAATGATCAAGAAATAACATGATTGTTAATTAATCGTAATGACATTATAATATCTAATGTTTTACAATATTATGCAGATCAATCAGTTAGGGAATAACCTTCACGAACTGACACAAGTTTCAATAACATAAAGGCGTATATAAGACTAGTTAGAGGATTAATGTACTAAAACGCATTGATATGGATATGTATACCGGTGAAATTTACAGTAGAGTTGAGTAATTTAATTTGTATTTGTAATTTATTATGATTACGTTTAGCGACTGTAATTGACTGTAAACCAGCAGACATAAAGGATAAAATCTAATGAAATATTTATGGCTTTCAACAAAATAATGGTTCAGATTGTAATTGTAGGGAGTGATCTTAATGCTTAATTACGTAAATTGAAGTCAAAACATTTAGGAGGAATTCCCAACGTTTTAGTTCAGCAAGTAGAGTGGTAATCACCCATTGAAATAATCCTCACGACACTACCAAATTTAAGCATAAAATGAGACATTATTTAGTCTTCCAACCTCAGCATCAACCAAAAGATGAGAGATGAACATACTGAATATCTTCGCGGTAAATGGTTGAAATCGTTCCACAGAAGACTACAGCGTCTTTTTTACAGGTCACGCAAAATCACAACTGTATGGTGTCAAAGGAATTTTTCGGAGATAAGATTGAAGTAGGTGGTTAGAACCTGAGACACAGTGACTGTAAGTCGAGTGCTTTAAAGAACTAAGCCACCGCTTCATTAAACTTCGCTAATTGTATCACCACTGCTGTACCAAATATATATATATATAAAGTAGACTTACGTAATAAGATCAGTAACTTGTTTCACTAAAATTCCACGGACATCAGCTACTTTCGGATCTTGTTCAGTAACATACTTTGTCACAAATTGATTATACTGAATCATAACAGGAGTGAGTAGAACACGAAATAATTCTCCGACGCGATCTTCACCGTTGTTATTACTATTCGTTGAATTAGGCAGTTGGATACCACCTGCAGCGATAAGTTGCGCAGCTGCTTCATAAAGGAAACCTTGTTCAGTAATACCCAAGCCTGTTTTAACAGACTTTACAAAATTCAATGTATTTCCATTGACGAAACCACCATTTCCATTTAGTTCACCATTTAAAACACTAGAATCTGGTTCTAATGATAATTCTAATAAGTCGGAGAAACGTGAAAGATATTCTTCGGTATGTGGAAGAAGAGTTTTTCTATATTTATAAGAAAAAACAACGAATAAATCTAATGTTGGACAGAATAGAAACAGTAAATTATCGACATGCAATAAAAAGTTATTTTTAAACATTGTTTCAGTGATAATAATGATAAAAGCTAATTTTACTTACATACCATCTTAATGTATTTAACTACGCTATTTGCATATGATGGTCGGTGATACTGTGATTCGACTGTCTAAACCAAAAATGGATGGGAGTTCGAGCCAGTGATTTATTGACTGAAAGTCAAATATGTTTATCCTCAAGTTATCGTGTTTTAATAACAAAATAAAAAGCTACAGTACGATCTGACAGGGTTTTCAAATCAATGGGAAATACTATTAGATATCCTAGCAAAAAACCGAGAAACATTTGGGAAACGCGAGGCTTACAGTTAATGAACTGGTGCAAAAGGATAGTTTTTGGATTTATGGTTGTTAGTTTCGGTATAATTCCATACTCTTGCATGGAATTCTAAATATTGTGCTATTCAGAAGCATGAGACCTCATTAATCGAGTCTAAAGAAATAGAAACTGGAAATAATATGCTCTAGCTTTCTCTAGAAATAGTGGGAAAACAAAGTATTTGAAGGGAAACTAACTTGAATATATAATTTAAATATAATATTTAGCATTATACAATTTTTCAGTAGCTCTTTGTACCTCATGATTTCTTCTTGTTATGCTTGACATATTTCCTGATGCTTTATTGTATAAAGCTGTTTTTATGTAACAAAATAGGTAAATAAAAATAAGTTATCCTGCTATTTGTGTATTTCAATCCGTTAATCACTTTATTAGAATAGTTAAAACCATTCAGATCAATAGTTACTCACATCAACAGGTTAGGATAATAATAATACATGTCGAATGAAACAATTATGTGATTTTGTTTTGTTAAAAGAAATATCATCCTTATTGTGTAAACACTGAAGTCATAAGACTTAACCCAGGTACCATTTATGTTAACACTTGATTTAGTTTGATATTATTATTATTATTATTATTATTAGCTTGATTCAATATTATATTATTTGGTACAAAATCGAATTCTCAGCATAAAGTATTTCAACATATTTACGTTTCTTATTTCTTCGTTGCTCCTGATGATAAACATTCAGTGATCGCCAGTTGGATGTCAGAAGTTCAGTCAATCGACATATGAATAATGTATATCCTTTTTTGCTGCATGTTCCCAGCAAACACGACATCTCTGATTAGACCTTTTCTAACTTTTACAGCGAAAGGTTGTACAGTTTTCAGAAACGCACCGGAATAGGTTGTGTGCTTAATAGCCATAATGATGTATTAAAACAAACAATATTAGATAACTTGTTGAAATATATAGATGACGGGAAACAGGTAGCCCAGATGTTTAAGCAGGCCGCCCGAAATATGTTATGAACCTCAACCAAAAAATTAATATGTGAGGCTTGACCATCGAAATGTGAATCTAAAGACATTCAGTTTTATTATTACGGCGTACTGTTGTGTCACTATTTTAATGGAAACTACAACAGAAATATGGCAATCCTATTATTATCGAAAGAAGCTAAATTATGTGGTTACAGAGGAGTTTCAACAAAATAAACAGTAGTCGAGAATTGTGAGCACCCACTGAGCAATCAATCAATCATAAAAAACGTAGAACCTGGCACATATATGCGTCGGTGGGAGTCGTTGCACGATATGAACACAGTGGGGTGAAATTATCACGACAAACGTCAAAGTAGTAGGATTAGTGACAGTATTATATATATATATATATATATATATATATATATATATATATATATATATATATATATAGAGAGAGAGAGAGAGAGAGAGAGAGAGAGTTTTCAAGGAATAAATGAAATTAAACTTTGATCAGTGTCAAGAGGGATGGCAAAATAATCTTTAAAAAAAACATTTGAGAAGAATCAATCCAGAAGACGGATGTTAACCAAATATCATTTGTTGATTTATTTTAAGCAGAAATAGGGCTTTAGAATGATAAAAAATAAGTTTCTCCAAAATGACATCTTAAAATCTGTTGTAGGTTGTAGGAGGAGAGAGAAACAGCCAAGATACGCTTCATCAATGAACAATTGCTGAATAATTTTGATTCGTTTACCGACAGACAGGAGAAATTAGGAGACAAAACAAAAGGTTCACTGTTAACAGTACTTTAAAAAAGGTAAATTATATTGGAATGAAAGGAAATACGGGAGAAAATTCCGATAACTGATCATAAAAAAGTCTTTATGAAATGTGCTTACTTGTGTGACTTTATCATGCGATTAATTAAATAAGCGCAGCGAATTTTAACACTATGCCATGGACTATGCAAACCTCGATCATCAACAAATGCGAGCTAAATTGAAATTAAATGAAAAAAAAAACGAAACATTTATGATCGAAACCATACATAGTTCATCTTTTTTGTTTGTTGCTCCAAATGAATGTTACATTATCGGTCAATATAAGGAAGAACTGAAAATTTCTGTTATTATGACTGCGAATGCATGCACTAGACGGATATCCATTATTCTTCAGAAAGTTAAAAATTTTTATTAGCAATTGAAGGTGATATTTTTAGTCGGACAGGTCAGTTATATGTGAATGTAGAACTTGGTACTTATGTGCAATAGCTGAATTTTTCACACTGCATCAACATAGAGATATGTCAGAGTAGTATTGGTAGTAATGTGGTGTTGGCTACTTATATCGACATAAGTAGCACATACTGTGAGTCAGGAATAGGATATCTAGCAGCAGAAGATTGAGAAAATCGAGAAGGGAAGAACAGAAACAGAAAGCAATAGGTGTGAAATTCAGAAACAATGAAGCCTAAGACAATGAATGAACTTTTGCAAATGAAGTATCAGAGTATGGTTTTTCTATTTTATCAAGCAACGTTGTAATTTGTGCTAAATACATAATCGGTTATCCTCACTTGTGTTCTCCTTCACTACAGTAATAGTATTGATGTTAATAAAAAGGATCAGGAAAAATAGACATAACCGGAGAAAACATGGATTAGTGGAATAAAGATTTTAAAATTACAGAACATGGGAGCTAAGATAGTACTGAGCTAATGCAACCGCGTCACAGCAATGATTCTGAGTAATGTCACTTAAAGTCTGTAAACAAATCTACAATAATCGGGTGGACCCAAATCAGGTAGTTTACACCTACCTTTCTACATGGATCGGTTCGACTACCAATGACTTCATGGGGCGGAGCCAGATTTTGTTTTGAGCACTCATGCCTTTCTTTGAAAGGAAATATAAACCGACCTACAGTGCGCGTAGAGGTAGGCAGTACCTGGTTGGGCATAGGTAAAGCTTGTGTCAAATGCCTTAGTTGATGAAGACTCACTACCTGACCAACCGATTCACCATGGTTATTTAGCGCCCTGCACCTAACTTACACTACAGATAACGTAAACCACTTAGATGAAATTGCATTTTCTGAGTTCGTACCAAGATCTTATTAGACACTAATGCAAAAGGAGTGACGGGACTGCCAAATTAAACGAAACAATTGACGAGCTCAAAAGGAAGTAATTTTTTAATCTGAAGTTATTCAATAGACTGAAAAATAAATAAATTTATATTCTAAGGCAATGTTTATTGATTGAATCCTTTCCTTTTAATCGAACAGTAATGAGTAAAGTCCAACTCTAAATATGATTAGCAGTAACTAGCACTATAGGCTTCATTAAGAGGCGGAAAATCATAGCGTATGTAATTATGTTTTTTACGATAAAGGAATATTTGTACTAGTTTCAAAGTCGTTTTCGAAACTGGTTTACAAAAACACATACAAATATCATCTGTATATATTTACATCTCCTGAACATTATCTAACCAATGAGGGCAGTTATACGTGAATTTAATCTAATCGGATGTAACCAGTTATTCACCAAACCTACATATTATGCATTCAGATTAAAAGATAGACATTGAATCTATCTATATCCCTGTTGACGGTTCTGAGTTATGCGACACATGAGATTAACAATACATAGACCATCGTAATAATTAAAACTTTGGAGACCTTCTTGAACATCTGAGCTACCTGTTTCCTGCCATCTAGATATTTCAACAAGTTTTTTGTTTTTGTTTGTTTTAACACATCATTGTGTCTAATAATCGCACAACCTATTCAGGTGCGTTTAAAAAGAGTTTACAACTTTTCGCTGCACAAATTACAAAAAAAACCTAATAAAAGACATTATGGTTGCTGGCAATATGCAGCAAAAAGAATGTTCATTATTCAGATGTTGATCCCTGAACTGCTAGCTTCTAACTGGCGACCACCCAATATTTATCGTCAGGATCGACCAAGAAGTAAGAAACAGAAACTTGTTGAAACACTTTGTGACGAGAATTCTATATTATGCCAAAAATATGATATTGAATAAAGCCAATAATAATCAAAAATAAAATTTAAAAAATCGATAATTGTTAGTGGGAGGAAGTGAGTGATCATATATTTACGCACTGAGTTCAGAATCAAGCTTACCGTGTGATGGTTACACGTATCAGTCTGCTTGCTATGAACATGACCTTAAGGCTAAAAACCTGTATTTTTAGACCATATAGCAAAAAACTTATATTTCTGCACGTAAAAAAATAGATACACGGTAAACTTAACTCCTGAATCTGAAAAGATTACGTATGTACTAATTTACTAAATATAATTTAACTGGTTAAAACCCATTTAACACTGATTACTTTGTCTTTTTATACAATTCTGTATGTTTTCACAGTCGAAATGTCCAACCTTAAGTGATCTTCATACATGGTTGGGGGTTTTTCTACAATGGTATGTTGGTGTTACAGTAAGACGCTTTTGCACTTCTTTAAGAGTCATTCTGAACATGATTATGCCCGATAACGTCATCAATCTACTTCAGGGTCTCAATAAAATCCATTCGGGACTTGACTCTTAGATAAGCTGGGGATAGATTATGTAGCATTGATAACAGCTCACATTACATCACGTAACTTACTTGAAAGACAATTTCCTCCACGTAATTGTGCATTATGATGGCAGGTTATCTACCTTCACAGTTGTTTGAGGTAGTCGTTTGCAACAAACCTATTGTTTGGTTAATCAAATCTACATAAACCACCACACAACTAAATGGTAAAATTTATTGTGATTGCGCAAAAAATTTCCATTTGATCAAAATGTGATTTGGACGAGTTTCTTATTAATAAATGGAAATTATTTACACTTATTTACATCACATAACATGACTTTAGAAAGAAATAATAACAACAAATAACCATGGTGTCTTTAAGATATGCACTAAAATTAGACGGCATCAAAAAGCAAAGTTAATCTAGTTAGATAACAGTAGAAATACAAAAGACATACCATCACATTCAAAAGGTGTTCAGGTACTAGTGAAAAATAACGTTCATACCGAACCATTATTTCAAAATACTGCAACTGAAGAGCTTCATGTGGTAAACGAGAGAAAGAATCACTGCATAGAATAGACATTATGGATACCATAGTTTCATGATGAGGAAAACTTTGACAAAAATGATCGTTTTTACTGGCCTGAAACAGAATTATGTAAAACATTATATGAAACAGATAACACTTATCATACATGTGAAAACACTAATCATTATATATATATATATATATATATATATATATATATATTTGGTATTCGGTTAGCGGGAGGGTCATTAGGATCCCCAAACTGAAACAAGATTCGAACTTGTGACTAAGTTGTTAAAAGATGTATTATGCAAAGACAAAGTTACTTTTCCAAAAAAACGTAGTAATAAAGTGGGGACCGAAGGCAAAATAACTATCTACTGTTTCTTCAATACTACTCGAAGAAAAGAAAAACAAGATACCTGGATTTAATTTGGCTCTAAAATGAATAATCTAGATGACACAAGATGAACAGCAAACGAGTTAAAACAATATTGATATGTGATAGTAAGAGAGACTAAATGTAAGAAATATAGTCAAAAAAGGTCAGATAAACTTATGGAATAAAACGTATGCAACAATACTGGAACTCAGGATCCAATAAAAGATGGGAAACGAGTCTATCTATCTAAAACATTGAGATAGACTGAGCCATGTGACTCATTTTCAATTACTGGTCATGGTCAGATAGTTTACATATATCATTACAACTTAGTTCAACGGTTGGTCATCCCATGGACGGACGATATACTTCGGTATCGCCACCCTTAGATTTCCTTAAATCTATCCCTACTTTGGTCAACATTACGTATTGAGGTAGGTGATGGTTCGGAATATGCAATGCATGTTTCCGCTACCTCAGTCGCTGGTACCGTTGACCGTTTCACCACATTCGCTTAATATCATATCATTATAAAATAGGCGAGCAACACTCCGAGGACATCTATTAACGAACACAAGAAAGTATGTCATCCAATACCAAAAATTAACATATTACATTCATTGAGTTAAATGGAGTAGAGTGATGATGCACAAAATATTCATTCATTAGTACATACGCACACAACAATAACAGTGTTACAATATTTTAAAAAATCGAACACCTGATAAACCTACTTTGCAAATTTCTCCAAACAAATAGAATAAATTCAAAGTTACATCAATTTGTTGCAAGTGTTCCAGAGGAAATGAAGATTTTTCCATACCACTTGAGTTGAGTAAATGATGAGAATGTCTAACCAGTTGATGTATGGTATCCAATACAAATCTTTGATCTAATTGTGTGATATTTCCAATTAGTGTGCGTAGTTCATGTCGGTATTCTTCATATTCACTCTTGAGGAATAAGAGGATGCAAGATGAAAGTCATTTACTTAATAAATAACATGTGTATTTTTGGTATCAATGGGGTGGCTTGATGGTTAATCCGTCTAACTTTCAGTAACTAGGTCCCAAGTTTGAACCCTGGTCCATCTACTTCAGTTTGAGCGAAACAATAGTATAACTAGCCTTCACTTGTCTGGAAGTGAACCACAAGAATCTGTACCTAGTTGGTAAGTTATTTATAGTAAGTTACGCATTCGACTGAGTTAAATTGATTATATAAAGACCTATGATACTACTGAGCTGACCATACCGAAATAAGCGCAGTTTAAACCAGCAATCGAAAGGTTGAAGGTGAAGTGTTCTCCTAACTAAACTATCACTCTGCTACAGAATCCCTGGATCTAGGCACAAAACCATTCAAAAAATGTCATGCAATCGATAAGCGAAGATGGTAATATTTAGCATTGGGTTATTTCATATTTTATTTATTTATTTGAGCACATAAACATTGGTACAAGGCGGCACCAGATATATATGCGCCACAGAATAACAATGAGAATGGAAACAGAAATAGGGGGTAAGGTGCATATAAGGAAAAAAAAACAGTATCAACTACAGATTAGTGTATGTTAGTGTAATAATAAGAATAATAATGGGAGGAACGGAAAGGTACAACCAGAAGAACTCTTTCAGTTAAAGAAGTTTTAACCACTCCTTATGAAGAAAGTTAAAGAAGGTTACAGCAGGATCGCCACTGGCTTACATTCTGAGCTATATCTGATAACATCTCTAGCCACTGTTTTGCACCATCTCTCGGGCCTCAGCCAGGGAATCGTGAAGGGTTAACAGAAGCCAGCCATGTGCAGCCTTCTTTTATACCACGACACCATGTCATACACTGACCATCTCTCCGCTTTATCCAACCAGTCCCAGTGTCGGCAAATAATGCACGACGTGGAATTCTGTGGGACGACATTCGTAAAACATGTCCAGGCCACCGAAGTCGGTGTTTCAAGATGGTGACACCAATTGAATTATCGTCTCTGTGCCCGAACACACGATGCCAAGCCTCTGCATTACTAACATGGTGTTGCCACTGGATGTCAGCAATCCTTCGAAAACAATGATGGTCAAACACAGAGTCGTCTAACATCCTCAACTCGGAGAGGCCAGGTTTCACGAGCATAGAGCAAAACTGCTCTCATCTTTTACAGCCAGACTAGCATCATGAAAGCGCCAAAGATGGCCCAGATTGACATAAACTTCTCTGGCTTTCACTATACGTGCATCGACCTCATCACTCACGCCACCACCAGCACTTATGCAGCTACCTAGATACACAAACTTCTCTACTACTTCAATCTGCTCACAACCCAGTGTTAGTACAGGATTAGAATCCTGCCAGTCTTGTAGGAGTACTTTGCACTTGGAGGGTGCAAAGCACAAACCATACCTACGGACACTGATTGCCAACTGATTAAGTGCGGATGGCATGGCTTGAGTATTATTGCACAGTAAGACAATATCATCCGCATACTCAAAGTCGAGAAGTCTTTCTCCAGGCAACAGATCCACACCGCTATTACTTACATCAATCAGAGCTGTTTCCAGAATGTCATCGATAACAGAGTTGAAGAGTAATGGTGAGATCAGGCAACCCTGCCTAACCCCACTGCTTTAATGGAACAAAGGAGAAAGGTGGTTGTACGCCTTCACTCTGTCTGAGGTCTTTGCATATAGGGCCTTTAAGATGTTAATAAACTTCTCAGGCACACCCTTCTTCAATAGACAGTCCTAGAGAACAATCCTGTTCAACGAATCGAAGGCAGCCCTGATATCAAGAAACACTACGATTGTTGGCCTGCAATAAGTATGACGGTGTTCTAGCATTTGGCGGAGGGTGAAGATATGATCAATGCATCCTCGACCAGAACGAAAACCAGCCTGCTCCTCGCGAGTCAATCGTTCTTGGGTTTTTAAACAACCTACGAAGAATGAAAGAAGCCAATAGTTTGGACGCAATCGGAAGTAGACTTATCCTCTGATCGTTGTTACAGAAAAAAGTGAACCCTTTTTAAAGATAGGGACAACTATCGACTCATTCCATGATGTTGGAACACTCGCTAGCTCCCAAACCTTTGTAAACAACTGTCAATTCCTTAGCCAGAAAGTCACCACCATCTTTAAAAAGAGCCGGAGGTAAGTCATCTGGGCCCGGTGATTTGTAACGTTTCAAGAGTTGGAGGCCACTCTCTTCTGTGCCTGGACGCTGGACCTGTGCATTCAAGTTTTCGGCTAGTACTACAATACCTGTTGAACGCAATTTCATCCTTGATTGCATCCAGGCTGCAATCTGTCGGGGCATAGGCGGAGATGAGAAAAAAACACCTTTCCTCACGCCATTTATTCCCTAAGGACCCTGGAGCCCACGCGCATCACGTTTTTCCAACTCCCCTAGGTGGATCCTGCATATCCACCGGCCCGGTTAAAGCGCCAGACATTCGCCTTTCGTCTTCAATTTCGTAAACAACACCCATGGTGCGAGAAGGCAGTGAGTAGGACTTCTCTGGCAAAGGCTGTATACGCGTGGCCGTGTGAGAGCATTTCATTACATAAGTTAGCCCGATATGGTATTAACCTATTTAAAACTTCTTGGTTATCCCACTCTGTAACGAAAAGCGACGATAAACGTAATTCCTGTTCAACAATGATACAATAATATTATTATTCGTACACAAATGATAATACCCAAATCATAATTGTATTGAGTACTGATGACAAAATTCTCAACATTTGGTTTTGTTATATATAATGTTTATACAAACAAATGAATCAAATAGCTTCTAGAATATTAACGTAGCGTGTACTTAGCACAAACCATCCATGATTGCAATTTTAGATATCTGAGAATAACAAATAATAGGCGGACTGAAAAAATGACCGTTTTAATACAGATAGCTTGCAGTACTGTTCCGAAACTCGCTTCTTGCATAAAAAATTCTTACCTCATCATCATCTTGATTATCACGAATCGGAAGACATTTCATCTTATCTATACATGCGAATAGAAGACGTTTAACAAAAAACGATCTGGTTTCATTTATTTCCAGATGACCAGGTGATGTAGTGTTGTTCAACCATAAAGGATTTGTAGAATCTAATGAAGTTGAACTATTACGATTACGTGAACGACGTCCACCTCCTGGTGATAAAAGATTTTCTGACGGATGATTTACAACGCTTTTCAATAGACCCAGATAAGAACGAAGAAATGGTGTAACCACTTGGCTAATTTGTTGCTCTTTATGTTCAAATAAACGCACAGCAATATTTAATCGATCTTCCAAGGCTTCCAAAGCAATGGGTAGGAATGAATTATTATCTGATTCAGATCGAAACTGATTATTAGCTTGATTTGAACTATTATTTAGCCAAGTTGTTTCATACAAGTTCCTAATAAAACAAAGTTTAAAAAGGAATGGTTTTGTAACAAGTATCGTATTTGTGATTGAATGCATTTAAAGAGGGGCTAATGATATTATCTAACTACCTAGCCAAAATAGATATGGCAGGGTTTGAAACTTTAATCAATGATTTTAATTGTACTCACTAAGCGACCAAAGTAAGAACTAGGTAATTACAGAAAGCGTCGAAGAATGTATTAAAAGAGTGCGAGGTTCTAACTGTTTATGACTATGAATTGCCAACGCGATACAACCGTATTCGAGTTCCGAGTTTTAATAGAGGTTTAAACCGATTTAATCGCCAGTTGTATAAAGTAGAGATTATCTGGTTATCATCTAAGCCGCAGTTTAATTTTAGTATTCCCATCTGTTGGGTTAATTTTTTATGACTTCTAAAGACACAATATACTCCATTTATAGTTGTTTGACACACGGCGAATCATCAAACATCAACTGAAATGTCAATCAATACGTTTTGCATATTATTTAGATCAGAACATAAAACATGAACAATCAAATTACCACGCCCTAAATTCGCGTAAATGCATGGACAACCTGTAAACGCCTCAGAATATCATGATTATGATAATAAGACAAAGAATAATCAAAATGAACATTTAATTACCTGTACACAGACAATAATTGATTTCCCATTGCATCGATCAAAGTAGCAAATGTAGATAAGGATTCTAATTGATCTTCATTTAGGTTGTCACAAGTGTCGTTAGCTGAATTCATCATGAAATTTGATATATTTGGATCATTAATTAACATAGATCCTAACTGTTCCCAAATACCAGTTAACAATCTTAATTTGTCAATTACTTGCATACCTTTATTTACAAAACCTATCAAATATAAATAAATCCCGCAACGAATGATTGCATTTGCTGAATTATTATCATTATTATTATCCCTTGATAACTGCAATAGTCGGCTTAATAATGTAATCCATTCTGTATTGGCTACAAGTGTCAAATCAACCCATGATGCATATAAACCAATGGTATGTAGAATTTTTCGAATCAGACATGCATTCGATTGACATAAATTAAGAAATCGATGCTGAAAAAAAATCATATTGGAGCATGTTAAAATATAGTTATGTTATACGGAAACAATTTATTTTACCAAGAAAAGTATATTTAATATAATACGATAACAATACTACTCAACGCCAGAAATAAGAAATCTAGATAAACTACAAGAAATCGTCGATATAATTTTTCAGATCTATTCAGAGTTATTATCACAGGTGAACGGATATCGTTCAGCTTTTCTCATATTAACTGTTAGAGATATCGACCAGTACATCTCATGTGGATGTGAAAATATTAACCAAGCAGTAAATATTATAATGCAGTTGCAATTCGGCACATTCAATCCGTAAAGATATGGAGTAAACCTTTCCAAAGTCCTCATATTTTAGTGTCCATAGGTGGCTAAACAAATACCCCAAAAGTATACCATAATATACAACCGTAAAGTAGCAAGATATGAAGTACCAACTTTTCTGTAGAGTGAATCCATAGTTTGAGTGTCATTATGATGACCAATTACGTAGAAATGTTAAGGCGGTCGCAAGAATAGTCAAATTTTATTAGTAAGGTTAAAATCTCTTCAGAAACGATAACCGTTTGCACACTTTTTATTAATTCGATTTTACGCATGACCTTTGCTCACTGATTGGTTGTCACGTTCTCTTAGTTCGCTAAAGTGCCACATGTTCAATCATATTCTGCTACTATAGTAACAACCTTTTCGTACCGATTTCGTCTAAGTTGCTTGTTTACCACAAATATCAAGTTACCTGTTATTTAGTCCTCCTCCCGTATAAGCCGTCGAGGTTCGATGTATTGAGTATAATTGACTGTAGTCATTTCTAAGGAGAACCGAATGTATTAGGGAAACTCAGTCGTTTGCATCCCTAAATCCGTAACAACGTAGGAGGTACTGAACCCCAATAACAAGACAACGGTCACTTTGTTCTATTATGCATGTTAACCTATAACTGTTTTGTCAGTGTGATCAACCAGAGTTAAAAGCTCTGAAATATTCAAGTGACAGAACAAAAATTTCACAAAAGAGTACCTGTTAGTAATTTGATCATTTGGTTAAGATTTCGTAAAAAGCGAGCTTAAAAAACCAAAATGTAGATTATAACTCACTATCAATTGATAGCATGTATGAATCAGTGAGCCAATACATGATTCACGCATTGCATCTTTGAGTTCATTACTTCGTCTAAGTTCATCGGTGGTTAACTGTACATTTCTTGATATGATATAGCTGTCTAAATCAATGAGAATATCAAGGAATAGATCGACAGCCACTATATCAGACTTATTTCTTTCATTGACTTGTCCATCTTCAAAAAATTAAATAACACAAGTTAATATGGAATAGGTATTACAAATATTTCATGAAAATGAAATAGATATGTTAATGATTACGGGTTTGATTACACATGAGTTAAAGGTTTAATCATCGTTACACCTACAGCAGTTTGAGTAGAAAATCCATATAGTATGTAGTCACAATAGTTATGATTCAAAAAACTGAACTTATGCACGGTTACTAGTTCGCACTGAATAAATTGAAATTTTGTTAAGTAAAATTCTCATTCAGGCACTTAGTAAACATTAAACAGAGCGAATGGATATTTTTTGTTGATCAGTATGCAACCACGGCTCCAAACTAATTCTCATACTAGATATTATGTAACCACTGAACCGTTCACTTGCTTTTTTTACTTAAATTACAACTAATTATTCTGATTACGAAAATCACTCTGTATCTACACTTGCAGTGGTGCAGCAAATAACTGCTCTAACCTAGATATTAGTCTAAGAAATATACAGGAAAAGATAATAACTAATCCACAAGAAATCTAGATAATTCAAAACAACCAACCTGTTGCTTCAACAAGTAATCCCAAAAGATCGTCAAACAGAGAAGACCAATGATTTGGATAATATCGTATAATAGCTAATGTAATTAACTGACCAGCTTTCGCTTCAAAATATTTAGGTTTTCTGATCCCATCAACAGGATTAATGAAATATCTCAACCACTGACAGGCAAACGTAGCAAATTTTTGTGCCTCATCTGGTTGAACGGGTAAACTAAAATCTCAAAATGAAAAAATCGTATTACTTACTCTGACTTTAAATTCTCCTCAAGTGCTCTACAACATAGGAAAAAAAGGGCAGATTTCTGATCCCCAGGGAGTGCATCTACATTTGGGAGGGTCGAATTAGAATTTAACAAAACAGAAGTGCATATTGGCCAACCATCCTCTGAACTGAGGAACTGTATTAACTTCAATACATGTTTTTGATAGTTGTTGTCTTTACCTTGTTGAGCGTTGAAAACGTTGCACAGTTCCGCAATATTGAAATCCATTTACTTATTCACATACACTGACAAAAGGCACGATTCGAATCTCAAATCCAAATAAAAACCACAGGAACTCGATGCCACTCGAGTACCATAAAGGTGGTTGTTTGTTAGGCTGAAAAATAAGCATTGAAATAAATAAAACTCAAAGAACATTGCATCTAGAACATGACAATTTTAGTATGAGGTTGGTTAATGAGGTATCCAGTTTTTTTTTTTCAGAAAAAGCAATTATTTTTAATCGAAAAAAATACTAGAAAATTATTTGCAGATGGTTCCTGCATTTGTCTGATATATAGGTTGAAAGTATGTTAGATAATTTCGATAATATTACTCGAACTTATTCATAATTTGTGAAAAGCTTGTTAAGTTATTAATAGCACATTTGACAGATGCGGCTTATACAATTATATTATTTTGCTGTAGAATGAACAGGACAAAATGGTCTTAAGGCAGGATCCTGCTTTATTTTGGGTGCCCGGAAGGTATTCCAACCCCATACAAATCGAGTGACTTGTGTAGCGCAAATATGTTTACCGTCTTGTACCTACGTTTGTTTAAACAATAATAATAGATGGAAAACATTGACTATTTCTATATGAGAGTATATATTTGTACCCTCAAATGCCCTGGTGCGACCGAGTGGAGAGAGTCCGCTTTCCAACTCGAAATGCTTTCACATGGCCCCGCGCATACAGCCTCTTCCAGGGAAGTCCTACTCACAGCCTTCTCGAACCATAGGCGTTGTTTACGAAATTGAAGATGAAAGGCGAATGTCCGGCGCTTTGACCGGGTCGATGGATATTCAGGACACACTTAGGGGAGTTTGAAAACCCTGATTCCAAAAACGTGGTGCGCATGTGCTCCAGGGTCCTGAGGGAAAAATGGCGTATGAGCCAATTATTAGTCACCGGATACCATGGGAACGCATTTTCTTACGATGCTCCACTGCCTTGTGGGTCACACCTTAAGGTCAAAGGCTTAAAGTGTGGCCCCTAAGAAAACCACCTGTTTCGGTCTGGGCACCCGGGCAGTATCATAGCCCTCACACAACTAAGTGAAATGACATTCTTTTGTGTGGCGCATATATATCTGGTGCGCCCTTGTACAAATATTTGTGCTCAAATACATAAATTTATCTAAACGTGATGGCTAAGAAGCGATATTTAGCACCAAGTCAACTTACTCACATAACACTAAGACAACAAAAGCGGTAAATGTAACGAAGTGTTAAGAGTGAAAAGAACTAAATCTAATAACGTAAAACATGAAAAGACAGATAGTTAAGATAGTGACTACATATTACAAACAAAATGTTTATCTCGTAATATTTTTTCTACGATTCGTATGGAGCTCCATCCAAATGACTAAATAACTAGAATTGATGCATCTCAATAACTGAGTACGTGTTCTCGTACTAGTTTTAGCAAAATGTATCATCCACAAGCTAGTGACAAAACCCGAGTTTTGCAGCAGTATATATATATATATATATATATAGTTTGAAGACCACTAAATCATCCAAATGATTTATATACTATTACTGGAAGCACAAAAAAACTGAATATTAGAAGGCTTACCAGAAATAGTATGGGAAAGACAGACAAGTGTTGTCTTGATTTGCTAGGTAGACAGTCTTAGTAAGTTTTACCAAACGGGTTTTTTATTCAATCCTAAAAAAGAAAAGGGCAGAAATGAAAGTCATACGAGCTCTGTCCTTTATGCAGAAAAAAATGGCATGACTAGTATAAAATCATCGCTGTCAAATTTTATTCACTGATTCAAACTCTACAAATAAAATCGAGCCTAATGAACTAAAAGTTCCAGAGAACACAGGTAGATTAACTTCTAACAATTTGGTAGCTATAAAAACGTGAGTATTTGATGATGGAAGTTGAGACACTCATTATGCTACACAGAACTTGTACTTTTGGTCCCTGAAAAAATACTCAGCAGAACACGTATTTTTGAACAACTAAGTTATGTTGTATTCTTCACCAACCTATCTAGATGGTTATTAAACCGAGGAGCTATGTACACATAGCAATACATTGATGCTGGAACACCAAATAGTTAGTGAGAAACGAAAAAGGAAGATTATTCTTTAAAAAAATGCCAACTGGAATCAGAAACACTAATTGAACACAATCTATAGGTGACTAACAAGTTCATTAGTGGATAAACATACAAGCATGTGGTTAGTAGGGCTCCGCACCACGAGAACGTTAACTTGGAAAGCGCGCCACTTTCAATACCCAAGGCACGATGCCAATGATGAAATGAAATTCAACTTGCATCTTCCCGAATTTAAATAAACTTCCAAAAGTTGTACTTGACTGAGGAATTATTTCTTTCTGTTGAGTTTGCCTAAAAAATTGTCGATTAACTGAACAGCTGTGTTGAAACAAAATTATGAAATCAAATGACCCACACTTACAAATCTACATACGTTCTCAAACCACATCGTAACAGAACAGATACTCTAAAAATCTCCAGAGCGCTTTACGGAGTGAGATCGTCGCTTCTTCATTATTTTCTGTCATATTTTAGTTTTTATTCAGTATCCTTGCAACGACGTTTCATATTTCTCATTTTCCTCTTATTTTAACATGCATATTCAGTGATTTTTTTGTAACCATAAAATGAAGATCACATATTTTTCCCGTTTCTTACACTTTATATGTAACGTTATTTGTATTAAACATCTATTGTTTTTCTGTATCAATGGTAAAGAAACATGTAATCATTTGGTTATAAATAACATATATACACTACCGCGATTGCTAAAATATAATCGCTGTCTCCGCCATCCGTTCTTCCGCCTTACTGGCCACGGTCTTTGATTGAAGATCGTAATAGTATTATAACATCCTTTTAGGCCTTTCTACACTAAGTTTTGACCCGAATCATTATTATATAATACTATCGGACTTAATCTTCTTCATTTTGCTGTCGGTGCCACCATGTGAGGAGGAACATTCGTTCATCAAGTGAACATATTGTGGGTGTTATCTCAGAGAGCAGCTCACAAGCAACATTCATGTAATAACAATTGTTACTGTTGTTCAATATACCGTTTTATATTGTAACTGTAGTCTGTTACCTTTTGCGTCACTCGTAGACATACGCTTAGGTTTTCAGTATTAATTCTTTTGGTATATTACTAGTAACTTTGCTTGCTGTTGGGTTCCATCACACTGCGTAGTCCTTTATTACTTGAACTTAGTTATGATTTACTTTAATCGTGGGATTTTGTTGTATGACGTATGACCGAACTCAAGTTTACGGCGATATTCGGTTGACTACTGGTGACATTCCATTACCTAATGGAAATGGCTAGTGGAGTCTTCGAAGACAGATACTTAATCCTTTTTTCAAGAGGGCTCTTACTGATTCTCATCTATTGACTTTTTCTTTTGCTGTCGAGTACACTGTTTGTGATAGAGAAACTTTTGACAGTATAGAGCAAAATGTGTCGTTTTGTTTATTTGTGATTTTGATGTAACTCGTTCATTTTACCAAATAAACACCAGTCAAATCGACCAAAAATTTCGTCTTTGGAGACGACTTAGACTAGCAACTCAGAAGTGGCTTTGTACACAATCCTGAAGAACGTAGTTTTATGAAATCGAATAAACTTTGATTCGTTTGTCCTCTGCTTTCAAACCAAAAACTGAAGCTTCAATCACCGCTATTCATGAAGAGGTTTCGGATGTTATCAAATATCTCATTAATCAATATCTTTAATAAGCACAATATGACAGCGTAGTGGCAATGGAATATCAATGAGCCCTAGTCTAATCATCCGGCAGTTGAGTCACCGAATATTGTACAAATCATTGATCGCTGTCAAAGTCAAGGACAACAAACGCGCATCATTTAATCATGAGCTATGGATTGGTCAATGTGGTGGTGGTCTCATTAATATCTCTGTACTGATTCTTACTAATATATTTACGTAATCACGCCCTTTGTGTTATACAGTCTTCAAAGCAGCCATAATACTTTGATATGTTGAAGGTGCACTCCACGTTAGATACTGAGCGGAAGATATAACTTTGAATTTAACTGGTTCGTCACACCATTCACGTCTAACTTGAATAGGCCCTCAATCATTCGACAGAGATCATCTACGTTGATAATCTACAACAGTCTGAAAGCTGGGAAATCCGATAACACATTTCGGCATTTGATGAGCAAAGATTGCAACAGCTACTTAGGGCCTGCAATCTGAATGACAGAAAATCACCACAGGAACCTAGATACATTTAAAAGTTAGTCGGGTTATATATATCAAACGAATGAGCCCTTAAACAGATGTAATTACGGAGATCATAATCGATATCTGTTAACTAAGATGGCCCGGTGGATATGACTGTAAAATAATGGAAATGTAACCATACGACAAAGTAGTTAGTTTTATACAACTATCATACACTCCCATAGCGACAACCAATGTGTTAATATCCCCAAAAAACACCAGACATATGATCTTGTGCCCGGATCAGCCTCTTTACAAAAAAAGATACCAAATTTCTAAATGTGGCGCAAAAGCAATTTCTAACACTAAAAACCCTCAATTTACTGTGCTGTAGCAACGAAATACGCCAGACCATGCTGCTCTGATACAAAACATAAAACTTCACACATTAATTAACTGGCACGCCAGTAGTGGTGGCATCCGTCATTTTGTGACCACCATTTCGCAAAGTTGAAAGAATATCTGAAGCCAGACACCACTGGCGAAGTCACTCGCTGACCGTCCTGAGATCACATACGACAAATTTTAAAAGGCTTTAAATTGTGTCACCGTTTTATGTGACTCATATTGATAGAAGTTGGGCAACTAAGAGAGAGAACGGATTCTCCTGTAACTTAAAACTCGATTATGATGGATGTTCAGAAGCTTGCTGATTGAAGCACACCTCCCAAGGTTAACGGTATCATAATCAACTGCGCCCTTTACGGCATCTATATAATTAAGGCAGCGACAAAATATCTATTGATATCCATTTTAATCACGACATTATTGTTTGAGCAGGTTGTTGAGCTTACAAACGGCTTCACAGAGCACTAACTCCAATGTATGAACGTTACCAGGTTGATATCTCATTCATCACCCACATGTTTCCTCCTTGGCTTTATAACACTGGGCTAGTATATTCGATTCGGTGGACAATGACCTCGTTTATGTGCGCGTCTCTTGCACATCTGACATCTGAGCTTCTTCAATGGCATGAATCGTATACAAAAGCACTCACCAAGTGGTCAACAGACAGTCGTTATTTTGTCTTGGGTTATTTTTAATATTTTCAACTTCTTGAGTTTTAACCTGGTAATAGCATTGACGCTACTGATGGTTTGAGTTCAGATGACTCATAAACACATTTTCTATCTCGCAGTTGATTTATATGTCTAATAATTAGTGTATTTTCGACCATCACTTCATGCAATACTGTTCCACGTCATTTTTTATGCACCCAAATATCCATTTTAGTTTGCCAGGCCGGAAATCGCGTGCATCAACTAAATCACCTGCTTTGAATTCTCGAATTTTCGGGCGATTCACTTTCTTATTTTTTTGTAGTCCACTCATTCTGTCTTTCGGGTTCGAAACATCAAAAATGTTCTAATTGGTCGGCGAAACATTATTTCGGCTGGTGACTTCCCGTCTTGACAGTTTGGACTCGGTGTAATTCCATAAGAAATGAGAAATTGTTGCAGAGCCTCTTCTACGTCGCCTTCTCCCATCTTTAAGAGAGCTCGTTTAAGAACATCAACAAATTTCTCTGCCTGCCCGTTCGACTTAGGGTGATACGGTGGAGTTCTAACGTGTTCGATTCCATTTTGTTTACAGAACTCCGCAAACTCTAACGACGTGAACTGCGTCCCGTTATCTGAAACCAAAACATTAGGTGTACCAAACCAACCAAGTAGTTGTCCCAGATGTAGCAGTGTTTCAGACGTAGATGGTCTTCGTACAACATAAATTTCAGGCCATTTCGAGTACGAATCTACCACCACCAAAAAATATTGTCCATTTATTGGTCCAGCATAATCAACATGTAGTCGGATCCAATGCTTTTTCGTTTCTGGCCATAGCTGAGATTCTACTTTCGGTGGATCTTTTGCAACTTCGGCACATCGCCGACATCTCACTACGTCTTCTTCTACAGTCTTATCCATGAATGGCCAATAGACATAACTACGCATAGCTGCTTTCATTCTATTCATTCCTGGATGACTAATGTGAAACTGTTTAAGCACAAAAAACTGAAGAGATTTAGGGATAAAAACACGATCGCCATACATCAAACAATTATCATAAATAGATATAGACTCACATCTCAGGAAAAATTGGTGAAAATCTCGATCAGCTTTATTCTCTTTCCAACCCTTTAAAACAGCCTCTTTTATTCTTTTAAGTTGAGGATCACTAGCTGTGGCTCCTTTAACCGTTACTGATAGAATTCTGATAGCATCACAGAACACTTTTTTATTTCCGGTTCGAGTGATACAGAAGCAACCACGCAACCTTCCTCTAACTTATGGTTATGTGGTATTTTTTTGAAGTGTGCATCTTATTTCCTTTACAGAATTTATGCTCATGGTCAGAAACCTTCGGTTTACTTTTACAACATACTTGAGCATGACCATATTTGCCACATTGGAAGCATACTCTTTTTTTAAAGTAACAAACTTTGGCAGAATGACAGTTACCACATCGCCAATATGACGTTTTAGGTTTCACTTGATTTAGCATTCGCTGGGAGTATGAATCTTTATTTCCATTAAAAGATTTACGTAAAGCTTTAACTCCCATGTATTCACTGTTCCCTTCTGCGAGATTCGTGTCATGCTTCAAATTAACCATTATTTGACACTTCAGATACTGACTGCAGACTGATATTAGGATCTTGTTCGATTCTTGCTAGAATCCGTGTTCTAATATCTGCATCTACTGGAGATTGTAATTCACATACAAAAATAAGGCATTTGAACTGATCTGAGGACATTTCTTGTAAACGGAACCGCTCACATTCCCGGTTCATGATGCTTGCATACGTTACATAATCGTGCTGTAATTTCTTTATAAATTGAAGACACTGGTATCTAGTGTGAAAAATTGATGACCGTTCTCATAATATACGCGTCAGGCAATCCCTTGTTTCTTTGAAGGTTGTGTCGGTTGACTTCTTTGAGAGGATAAAATTACAGAATTTTTCATGTACGGACACTCCGAGCTTTCGTAACAATAATCTCAGTTTGGAACTTTCGTCCCACTCTTTACAATCATTAATAAACAAATCCTGATGGCGTTTAAACCACGCCTCAAAAGTAACTCCACTTTCTGGATCAAATCTAAATTCAGTTATTGAATTTGCAATAGAATCCGGAGTCA